AGCTATCACCCAGCGGGGAATTAAGGTCTTTTTTGACTCGTTCTCCGTGTTTTCCCCTTCCTTTACGCTCCTTTCCGCCATTCCAGTTGTAACGTGACCGTAAAGGTACCCTTGCATTAGTTCCGTCCCGTTACAGCTATCCAGGTGCCCCATTATATCGCTTCTGTTCATATAAGATGTATCATTAAAAACAATCAAGAACTTTGTTATCACGCTACCTTGTCGAAACCCTGTGACATTGACGAACAAGAAGCCAGGCATATCGTGAAACACATCTGTCAAAGCAGCCTCTAGTTTTGCTTTTAGTTCTTGGAAATCGCGACTCTTGGGGTCATCAAGAGATTCGTTAAAAGCCAAATTCAACAACCTGATTTCAAAAACGATAAATAGCTTCTCTTCTAAATCAATGTCTGTCTTGCTCGTGTTACTTATTTGCACTGTTACCAGCTTGACTGATCCTTTGCTCGACGATGCTCCTTTTGTTCGGTTTCTAGGTGAATCTCTAGTTGTTTCTATTACTGTTGGTGTCGATCTTGTATTTGTGTTTGAAAGTGCGTCTGGAGTTGTTACTGTTAATGATGGCGGCGATCTTGTAGTTGTGTCTGTGAGCGCATCCGTAGTTGTTTCTGCTACTGATGACGTCGCTTCTGAAATTTTATCTGTTATTGCATCCGTGGTTAAAATAGGTGCATCTGTAGTTGTTTCTGCTACTGATGGAGTTGCCTCTGAAACTTTGTCTGTAGGTTCATCTGTAGTAGTTGTAACTACTGATGGTGTTGCTTCTGAGGATTTCTCTGTTGGTTCATGTGTAGTTGTTTCTGCTACTGATGATGTCACTTCTGAAGCAGGTGCATCTGTAGTTGTTTCTTCTACTGATGGTGTCACTTCTAAAGTAGGTGCATCGGTATTTGTTTCTGCTACTGATGGTGTCTCTTCTGAAGTAGGTGCATCTGTAGTTGTTTCTGCTACTGATGGTATCACTCCTGAAGTAGGTGCATCTGTAGTTGTTTCTGCTACTGATGGTGTCACTCCTGAAGTAGGTGCATCTGTAGTTGTTTCTGCTACTGATGGAGTCGCGTCTGAAGTAGGTGCATCGGTAGTTGTTTCTACTACTGATGGTGACACGTCTGAAGTAGTTGCATCGGAAGTTTTATCTACTACTGATGGTTTCACTCCAGAAGTAGGTGCATCTGTAGTTGTTTGTGCTACTGATGGTGTTGCTTCTGAGGATTTGTCTGTTGGTGCATGTGTAGTTGTTTCTGCTACTGATGGTGTCGTTTCTGAAGCAGGTGCATCTGTAGTTGTTTCTGCTACTAATGGTGTCGCGTGTAAAGTAGGTGCATCTGTAGTTGTTTCTGCTAATGATAGTGTCGCGTCTAAAGTAGGTGCATCGGTAGTTGTTTCTACTAGTGATGGTGTCACTCCTGAAGTAGGTGCATCTGTAGTTGTTTCTGCTACTAATGTTATCGCGTCTGAAGTAGGTGCATCTGTTGTTGTTTCTGCTACTGATGGTGTCGCGTCTAAAGTAGGTGCATCGGTAGTTGTTTCTACTACTGATGGTGTCACTTCTGAAGTAGGTGCATCGGTAGTTTTTTCTGCTACTGATGGTGTCACTTCTGAAGTGGGTGCATGTGTAGTTGTTTCTGCTACTGATGGTGTCAATCCTGAAGTGGGTGCATTCGTAGTTGTTTGTGCTACTGATGGTGTTGCTTTTGAAACTTTGTCTGTAGGTTTATCTGTAGTTGTTGCTACTACTGATGGTGTTGCTTCTGAGGATTTCTCTGTTGGTTCATGTGTAGTTGTTTCTGTTACTGATGATGTCACTTCTGGAGTAAGTGTATCTGTAGTTGTTTCTTCTACTGATGGTGTCGCTTCTGAAGTAGGTGCATTGGTATTTGTTTCTGCTACTGATAGGGTGGCGTCTGAAATAGGTGCATCTGTAGTTGTTTCTGCTACTGATGGTGTTGCTTCTGAAACTTTGTCTGTAGGTTCATCTCTAGTAGTTGCTACTACTGATTGTGTTGCTTCTGAGGATTTCTCTGTTGGTTCATGTTGAGTTGTTTCTGCAATTGATAATGTCACTTCTGAAGTAGGTGCATCTGAAGTTGTTTCTTCTACTGATGGTGTCGCTTCTGAAGTAGGTGCATTGGTATTTGTTTCTGCTACTGATGGGGTTGCGTCTGAAGTAAGTGCATCGGTAGTTGTTTCTGCTACTGATGGTGTGGCGTCTGAAGTAGGTGCAGCGGTAGTTTTTTCTACTACTGATGGTGTCACTTCTGAAGTAGGTGCATCGGTAGTTGTTTCTGCTACTGATGGGGTCGCGTCTGAAGTAGGTGCATCTGTAGTTGTTTCTTCTACTGATGGTGTCACGTCTGAAGTAGGTGCATCGGTAGTTTTTTCTACTAATGATGGTGTCACTTCTGAAGTAGGTGCATCGGTAGTTGTTTCTGCTCCTGATGGTGTCGTGTCTGAAGTAGGTGCATCGGTAGTTGTTGGTGCTAGTGATGGGATTACGTCTGAAGTAGGTGCATCGATAGTTGTTATGTCTGTTGGTGCATCTGTAGTTGTTTTTTCAACTGATGGTGTCGGGTCTAAAGTAGGTGCATCGGAAGTTTTTTCTACTACTGATGGTGTTACTTCTGAAGTAGGTGCATCTGTAGTTGTTTTTACTACTGGTGTCACTCCTGAAGTAGATACATCTGTAGTTGTTTGTGCTACTGATGGTTTCACTCCTGAAGTAGGTGCATCTGTAGTTGTTTCTGCTACTGATGGTGAGACGTCTGAAGCAGGTACACCGGTGGTTGTTTCTGCTACCGATGGTGTCACTTCTGAAGTAGGTACATCTGTAGTTGTTGCCACTACTGATGGTGTTGCTTCTGTTGATTTTTCTGTTGGTACATCTGTAGTTGTTTCTGCTACGGATGGTTTCGCGTCTGAAGTAGGTGCTTCGGAAGTTTTTTCTGCTACTGATGGTGTCACTTCTGAAGTAGGTGCGTCTGTATTTGTTTCCGTTACTGATGGTGTCAATTCTGAAGTAGGTACATCTGTAATTGTTTCTCGTACTGATGGTTTCACTCCTAAAGTAGGTGCATCTGTAGTTGTTGGTGCTACTAATGGTGTCGCGTCCGAGAATTTGTCTGTTGGTACATGTTTAGTTGTTTTTGCTACTGTGGGTGTCGCGTCTGAAGTAGGTGCATCGGTAGTTTTTTCTAGTACTGATGGTGTCACTTCTGAAGTCGGTGGATCTGTAGTTGTTTCTGCTACTGATGGTTGCTCTTGTGAAGTAGTTGCATCTGTAGTTGTTTTTGCTACTGATGGTTTTGCGTCTGAGGTAGGTGCATCGGAAGTTTTTTCTACTACTGATGGTGTCACTTCTGAAGTATTTGCAGCTGTAGATGTTTCTGCTACTGATGGGGTCGCGTCTGAAGTAGGTGCATCGGTAGTTTTTTCTGCTACTGATGGTGTCGCTTCTGAAGTATGTGCATCTGTAGTTGTTCCTGCTACTGATTGTGTCGCGTCTGAAGTAGGTGCATGTGTAGTTTTTTCTGCTACTGATGGTGTTGCTTTTGAGGATTTTTCTGTTGGTGCATGTGTAGTTGTTTCTGCTACTGATGGTGTCGCGTCTGAAGAAGGTGCATCTGTAGTTTCTGAATGAGCCGAAAATACATCAACAGAATGTTCGTTAAGTGTTTTTTTCCTGCACTTTGTTTGATTTGAAAACATTGCCATTTGATAAATTACAGTGTTACATACTCTTGTTCATATTTTCCACAGAACTAAACGAGTTGCAGTTGATGCAATCCGAAATATTTTAAGAGTAACGTTAGAAGAAATTAAGTACTTACCAAATATAAAAGCGTT